CGCCCCCGGGGGGGCGCCTTGCCCGCGGGGAGCCATGAGACGGGCCTCAGCAGCGCCGGCTGCGCAGCCCCGGGGATGGTGTTTGGATGACAAAAGGCCGGCCCTGGGCTCCTGGCCAAGAGCGCCGGCTGCCTAATATCCCGAGCGGGGACAGGGCTTTCCAGCGCCCGCGTCCTCCTCTCCGCTCTCACCCCCTTTTTAAAAGAAACACTCCCCTTTTCCTCCCCCCTCGCCACTCTCCTCCCGCCCCACTCTGTCTGGATGCCATCGGTTCCCCGCGGGAGGTGGGAAAAGCCGCGGCCGACGATGCAGAACGGGAGCCACCGGCAGCTCGGCAGGGCTGTGCGGCTGCCCACCTGCAGTTACACCAGCCCTGTGGGGGTCCCAAAGGTCTCGCCCGGGACTGGTGGTAGAAACGGGCCCCCTGCCTCATGCCACTTCGCTTTTCATGACTGTCACTGCTGTCAGTGGGCGGTGTTGGGAGGGAAGATGCTTGACACAAACTTATTGGTTGAATTTATGAGCAAGGGCAAGAGCAGAACAACCCATGATGGGCCTGGGAACTGACAGGACCCTTTCCTCATGGTCCTGTCCCCAGTTGTAGCTGAGGCTCCATGCCCAGGACCCCACCAGGCCACCTGGGAGTTCAAAGCATCCCTCACCCTCTGGGTGACCAAAGGCAAATAAACAGAAACCGGGAGCACTTGCGGGGAGGATTTGGTTGCGTGAGGACCTCCACACAGCCCCAGCCTTCACATAGCAGAGGCCCTCATTACTCCGATAAGATTTTAAGGAGAAGTCCTGCTGCTACCACCTATCCCCTCTGACACCCTGGAGCAGCTCAAACGGCTCCCAGAAGCCAAAGAGGGAATAGGAGTCATTGACTTGCCCTCACCAGGAGTTTCATTCCAAATCCACCATGGCTCAAAGGAAACCTCCCAAAGACTTGGAGGGATGTTGAATCCAATGCCTTCTCCATGCGTCATTGTAACTATTGGGGATCAAAGCCAAGACATGGGAAAAGCTGGAAGCACAGCCTGGTAAAAGCGCTCAGAGGGAAAGACTGACCCATTCTAATGGGTAGCTACTCATAGGTATGATAAAAGGAAACGGAAACCATTCCCCAGGCAGTGCCACTGCATTCAGGATGAAAATGAAGACTCTGCTGTGGATGGAAATCTGGAGGAATGACACAAGAATTTTGCCCACATGCTCCTCAAGAAGCTTGTGATAGACAAGCACATGCAGGAGGTGTGGAGCCTTTCTTTGCCCTGGAAACCCACCTGAAATGCAGGGAGGATGTGGCTACTGTGGACTTCCAAAAGGACACAGACCCTGTGTGAGTGGAGTGGTGACCCATCTCAACGTGATGGTGGCCAGAGGGACAGTGATAGCCCTAAGATCTGCTGCTGGGCTGAGTGAAGGAGATCAGACACTTCTTCCAGCACTGGGGCATTTGCCGGTTCATACAGTGGCCATGTCCTGAGCTCAAGGAGTCTGCATGCATGGTCAGCATCTGTGTCCAGGTTAACACAGAGACCCACATAGCCAGATATCAGGGCCTGACTCTGCACAAGGCAGAGTAAAAGCAACGCACGGCATGTCCACAGCGTGACCCATGTTCCCCAGGAGCTCGGGGGGCACGTTATGCTCAATGTGTCAGAGCTGGAGCTGCGTGCTCACAAGAGGTTTCCACAGGCCATGGCGTCCCATGTTCCAGCTACTACTGCTGGTGCGGACAAGATCTTCTGGTGAGGAGCAGTGCCATGAGCAGGCATGGAGATCCCCAGAAGATCCTCTGATAATTTTTCTGGAAAGTGGCAGTTTTCTCCAAGGCAGCTACTCTGCTGCTGGAGATCTCTCAGCTGGCCTTTACCATGTCTGAGAGGCATAAATGACAAGCATCTATTTCTGCAGGATCATCTGAGATGGATGAGGAACTGAACGCCTAGTTAATAGTGTGGACACAGAAACCTAATGGCAAAAGGGCCCAGTCAAAGGAGCAGCATCTGCAGCTTCAGCAGTGGGGCAGAACCGGCTGGTCTGGAGACCTGTTTGTGCTCTTGGGATTCTCACAGGATAGAGAAAGCAGAACCTTATAAATATAATGGGGTATATGGGGTCATACACACATACATTCATATGTATACGCATAGTGTCCTGGCTAGAAAAGACTGCAATACCACTAAGGCTGTCCTCAACCGAGGACTTGTCCTGAATTGCCAGAGACTCTTTGCTCCTAAGTGTGCTGAGTGCTGCGTTCCAAGCAGTTCAGCACCTGCCTCAAGATGAAGCTGATCCTCCAGGTCCCCAGTCCCAGCTCTGGGGATCAGGGAGACCCAGAGACCTGTCACCTGATGAGGAGACGAACTAGATGTGGTCTCCAGTCTCCTGCTCCAGCGAGAAAGGCAGGCTGAACACCTGGCATTTCCCAGGTACATTTTATCCTGCAGGACCTCAGGGCAGTCTGAAACCTGTTTACATGGGCACCCCCACCTCGGTGGCTCTCCAACAGCTCTCCAAGGCAATCGGTGGAAGCAATTTCCTGTCATGCAGCAAGTATATATTACATCCCTATTACATCCCAAGAACGTTTGGAAACCAGCTTAATTACTCACACAGGAATTTGTCCACCACCCCCACGCTAACAACTTTATTCTAAAATCTCCAGAAGACCTTTAATAAGTAGGATGGCCTGATTCTGTGCTTCTTATTCTCTAGCTGGGTGCTGCAAAGCCTCTCCCTGTTTCCCAGACAGCAAAAGCGGCCATCTCTGACAGGCACCTCCAAGCGTCTTGCTCCAGGTCATAGCATTTGGCCGCATGCGAGGAATATCAGGATTGCCCCACACTTGACAGCGAGTCTATCCGACTTCCCTCTGTCTCTCTATTTTACAGAAAGACCCAGGGGAAGAAAGTGACCACTCAACAAACCTTGAATATGACTGCCCCAAAAGGCATTCCGGGCATGTCTCTATCAGCCCCTCCTCAAGTGGAAACTGCCTTAGATTGAAGCCCTCCTTCCTTCTCCTTTTGCAGTCTATGAAAACCCCTCCAGAGCCTCTCAGTCCCATGCTGCCACTTTTCCAGAGTGCACTTCACCCAGCTTCAGCCCCGGCTCCCTTCCACTTTTTGCATGACTGCTATTTAGTCAACAGATGGCACTCGGTAACTGCTGGGAGAAGCTGGGAGCCAGCTGCCAAAAAAGCCCACTTTTAGGAGCGTAAATTCGGGCCCAACTGGGAGGCTGCTTTCATATCATCTCCTAGAACTGCTAATAAATTGCATGGCCCAGTTTAAGAAATATGCCTGCCTTGTGCATCAATGAATGATCGTGTTGCCCAAGGCTTCTGAGCTGGGCGAGCGAGGTCTCTCTCCCATGACTGAGCCCATCGGATGAAGGGAGGAAGGGAAACATGCAGAATATCAAAGAGGCCTAGAAGCACCTTTTGTAGCAAC